GTGTAGTGCCTATGCAGAGGGCTGAGAGGGAGAAGCTACATTCCTCTTACCCATGCTAACACTGTGTGAGCAAACCATGAGGCTGAAGGAAATTCCTGCAGGATAAATACTGATAAGGAACAGTCTTTTTCACTTCTAAATGTGGCCTGAGGGACTTCCACTTATCTTTGCTGGAACTCTGATTATTCTTACAGAGGAATGAACCTGCACTTTTTTTTTTTTTTTTTAAACCCTGTGATCAATTAAATAAATAAGTTTTAAAAAGCTTTTCCCTATAGAATATACAACTCCTTCTGCACTGCTGCAGTGCTGTTGGGCTTCCTATGGCATTACTGCCCAACCAAGAAACTTCAGAGATTCACTTTTTACTGAAATGTCAGCAAATATACAGGAATTGTATGGCAACAGAAGCTGTGACAAGGGAATCAGAAATAATCTCTCCCATGTACCCACGTGTAGTTTTATGTGCTGAGTAAATTCTGCGACAGCAGGGGGCAGTGAGACTCTGATATCCCTTCTATTGGGTGACTAATTAATTCCTTTCCCTGCTGCAGCCCTGAGTAGGGAGCTGTTAGGAGATATACTTACTTTCCAAATTTTGCAGTCAGGTACCCACTGCACAGACACCCCATCATCCCACCCACGCAGTACAGGGACACAATGACGGACCACAGCAACGTGAGGGTCTCCTGGTGCAGCACGGAACCGTATCGCTCCAGCCACGTTTCATTGATAAACTTCTGAATGTACTGGGACAGAAAAAGAGATTTTCATTCCACTGAGGCACTGATCACAATAGTTCTTCGTGATGTTTACAGCTTTGAAAAAAAAAATTAGATTAATAGTCACTACAGAAAGCATGGCTGAAGGACACCAGTTTGCAAATTGGGATTGATATTTCCTCTCATACAGCCCAACAGTGTAATAGAACCTTTCAAAAATTAAATATAATCTCAGTGTGTTGAATCCTTGCTCTCCTACACTAAATATAGGGGGCTTTTATTCATTATAGAGAAATGTAAATGTTCTTGTTGTAGGTAGCAGATATAAAGAGAAAGGGGCTGAGCTGAAGGTTGAGTCTCCATCAGCTGGTTTTTAATCCTTTATCTCCATGACATAAACATTAAGGAAGGTATCTCAATATGTTGTTTCCACACAATTCTTTGTGGAGTTGTTTTTGGAGCACAGCTCCTAGCAATCGTGGAAAGAGCTGGGAATAAACTGGCATAGCAACACCTAAGAGCTTTTGCAGAGTAGTTTTAAAGTGTAAGGCCTGGTCCCACGAGGAACACTTAGAGGCGTGATTTTATGAAGGCTTTGCTTACCGGAGAAGTATAATTGATCACAGACATCTGAAAACCTGAGAGATGGGTTCCACCAATTCCCAGCACCACTATCATTAGCAACAGCTTCCGGTATTGGACCTGCCAAAGACAGTGAAACACATCCTAAGTTCCTGATGCCACTGTGGCTTTCAGACCAGATGATTTATGGGATCCTATATCTCCACATTTCTATTATTAAGGAACATTTAAAATGCAAATACCCATTTTTAATTTTTCAGTAATCAAACAAAATTAATGAGAAATTTTTTTTTTTTTTTTTTTTTTTACATTTCACCTTTATTATCCCCTTAGGGTATGGCATTTTTAGAGTCCTTACCTGACTGACTCCTATCTGAAGTGCTGTGTTTCCATGACGTACACTGGATTTTAGAGCACCCCTCACAAGCACGTACGTTTTCAGGTATTTAGTCAGGTCACGCTTCAAACAGACAAGTATCCTCAAATACCCTTGAGAGTGCAGGGCAGTAGAGTGGAGTGGGAGGGTTTTTTCTCTGTCTTTTTCACTGCTACTATATTCTTTATCTTCCTCAAAATGCCCATCCTTTCCTGGTTTCCCAAGTCCTCTTTTAAACCTCTCCCTCTTTTGTAGTTCTAATGCATTTTCTGGAGATGCCAGAAGCCGTATTGCTGAACTGGTGTCATCCCAAGCACATGCTCTGTTGCTCATTTTTATTACAAGGGCTGTTTGATTCCCTTTGCTGCAATCTTTGAGACCATGCTGCTGTCGATGACCAGGGCTAGAACACAAGCAATTGGATACTCACCAGGTCTGAAAGGAAACCAGACATTTTCCCTTGAAACCCTGCCCTCTCTGAGAGCTCCTGTCAAGTCTGTCAGATGAGAGAGATGGTTTCCACACTGAGACTGTAAGAGTTTGGGATCGTAGCACAGAAGTTAAACTCTAACTATGTGGCTTTTAGCAAATTGTGTCCTCTTCTGACACTGGCCAGGGCCATTTCTTGCTGGTTTAATTATTCTAAGACCCAGATATGACAAGCTGATTACAACACTGGTAAATGTTTATCCTTGAGTTGGGAGTGCTGCCCCTTACTCACACTGCTGAAACACTGGCATGTTCCTGTTGTGTGAAGAATCAGACAGTGCTACCATCCTCCCTTCAGGGGAGCAGAGTTCCCTCTCCACCTCTCTGAAATACATCTTAGGCAGGGAATTTTTCTTCCTCTCCACTCTACCACAAAGATAACACCCTTAGAATTGTAGCTGAGCTGTAATGCCTCTTCTTGCCTTCTATACGATTTTTCAATTGCTTGAAGTGATCTGAACAATTTCCCAGTTGCAGGAAATGAAGTATTGGATCATTGGTATGTTGAGTCCTTGCTAACACCCAGAGGGTCACACTCCTCACAGAACCATTCAGAAGCCTCACTCTTGCCACTCTGTAACAGTGGAATTGACCCACAGGGGCCAGAGTGCGATGCCACATCTCAGTTTCCAGACCTCTTCATGCTGTGCTGCCCCTTGAAGTCTGTTTTTATTTTTATTTTTCCATCCCAAAGGTCTTCTGCCAGACTTAGAGTAAACCCCTTTTTAAAAACTGTGGCCAGATTTTAAGATCTGGTTGATCAAACAGTCCCTGCAGAGCCCTGTTCCTCTTCCTCCTGTTGTCTCTTCTCTCCCAGAGTACTCACACTGCTCTCTCATTTTTGTCTGGCCTCACACCTTCGTTCAGTGCTGTACTATGGAAAAATGAAAGCCTTAAATGCTTAGCATCATTCTTATTTATATTCCTAAAGAAGAGGACAGGACAAATCTTTTCTCCTAGGATTTGAACACTACAAGAAATGTGTTCCAGATCCAGTCTGGAGCTCACCCAAGACCCTTGGCTTGGAGGGAATTTTGTCTTCAAAGATGCCCTGTGTAGCACTTGTGTGATCCTGGATCCTACATGGCAGATTCACAAGACCTTCTTTAACCTTTATTCCCAATCCATGCTAGTTTATGGCAGTGTTAATGATTTACCACACTTTCCCTCTTGTGGACAGTATTTACTAGTAGAAGGGAGGAAGAAAGGCACGTTGGACAAGATCACCCTGTGGAAAGACATGTAGAAGGAAACGAGTTTTTAATGTCTCATAAGACAGTAAAAACTTCTTCCCTGGGAACCAGTAAGATTGAGAAAGACCAGGCCAAATAAAGACTTTTAAAATATTAAAGGTCTTACCTAATTCTTTTCAAAATATTTTAAATGTTTCTTCTCTTCTTTCCCCCCACCCCCTGCATTTTTGACCAGAAGAAGGAATGTATGTTGGTTCTTATGTGGTCTTAATGTGGTCCTGTGCAATCCATAACCTCAAGCCTTGAAACCATAGACTTTATCTAGCTTTTTTGGTACTATGAGGATTATCATAGGCAGGATGGCTGTACTAGGGAAGTCCCCTGCTCCTAGTATTAGCTTTTGGCACTGCTACAAATACTGTTAGAGGATGGTGTGAAGATAAAATAGCAGAAGCCTTAGGGTTGTGAAAGAAACTACTGCTCAATAGTCAAGTCCTTTTGTAAATTTTATTGTGCAGTACCTGCAGCAGTCAGTAATCAAGATCTCATTTCCAGAACAAGACAGACACAGTGTTCCTTGACCCCAAAAACACAGTCCCAGAAAATGGGCTCTCCTCTGTCCCTGGCTCTTTGTTCAATGAAAACCAAATCCAGGCATGATCAGTAGGGTGTGTTTTCCTCGTCACTGATTTTTTTGTTTCCTTATCAGTAAACTACAAAGCATGAAGAAGACCAAAAATGTCGTGTCATATAGTAATGACTACAAAAAGTGAAGCCCTTTTTACCATGTTTTATAAGAAAAATGTGGAGTATTCAGAGACCTGGAGAGAGAGCAAACACTCAGACATACAGATTGGGTTCCCCAGGAGAGGCACCGATCTCTTTTGTCTCATTGGTACCAGTTGCTCTCAGGAGCTCAACCCCATTGAAACCCAGTGTTCTCCAGGCTGCAGACACACTGCACAATCATTGCTATTGAAGAAGAACCTGCTCACTGTGGTTTTGCCCACTCATAATTCCCTGCAGCTCTGCTTTCTTCGCTCGTGCTTTCTTTCAGTGCTGACATATCCCTGGGGTCTTTTTTCCAGTTGAAGAGGTGGAAACATTGCATATTGTTTCTGTCTACTGACAGGCACGGTGCTCTTCTTCCACTGGATTAAAGAGCTAAACAGTTCTTTTCCTCCAGACTGAAGCTTCTTCTCTGGGAAAGCTCAACAACACTGACTTATTAACAGCAGATGATTTCAACACCAAAGCTCTGTCTTCTTTTGCTCTCACTTTTGCAAACCTGCCGTATCTCTGGACCTTCCAGACTCATGTTCTCCAACTGTGGAGTCCTGCTTTTTGCCAAGAAAAATAGCATATCCTGTTTTCAGTTTACAAACTGCTAACTTGGAGGGACTGACAAAATTTCTTTATATGCTGTGTTCATATTTTTTTACTGCAGAGGAATTAACTCAGCTCATGTTTCAGGAGTTGGAGAGAACCACCAAGTTCATCCTGCACCCTGCACTGCTGGTGATTATTTTTAAAATACACACTTGTGATGTTTGTGGAGCAATGGATTCTCTCTTGCTTAATGAGGCTTCTGGACACTACAGTAACAAAGGAGCAAAACAGGAAACGGAGGGTTTGTTGTTAAAGTCGAGTAACAGTCATCACTGAGCGGTTACTCTGCTGAAGGGCTGTCTGTCTCTTCTTTCCACGGTAGTTCAGGCGGTTGAACTCCTCCATGACCTGCAGCATGGTCTTTCCTTTGGTTTCTGGCAGCACCAGGTAGACAAAGATAGCCAAGGACAGACAGTATGTCAGGAAAATGATGAAACAGAAATTACCAAGGCCTTCCTACAGGAAAAGAAAGAGGCAAACTGTGTTCATAAAAAATGATCACAATTTCTTTCTCTTATGATATAGAGTTTCTGGTTTTGTATTTACTATAAAACTTGGTCAGGGACAAAAACACCCTACTTTGCTTACCACAATGAAAGGGAAGACAAGTCCAAGGATGAAGAGTTGGATCCAGTTTATGACACCATTAAAGACATAAGCAGCTGGTCTGTATGACTGAATAAAAATTTCTGTGATCAAGGGACATATCACACTAGCTGAAAAAAATGTTGAAGAAAAGAGAAAAACTTAGAAATGTTGCAAGATGTTTCTGTACCTCACACTTCATATTTCTGCATAGGTTCCTGGCTTTAACTGACCTGGAAGTGTTTGAGGTGCTGCCTGGCTCTTCAGGAGGAAGGATGTAGGAATGCAATAGGAAGAAGTTTTACCTCCTACTGTAGTATGGAGGGAAACATTTGCACCTGCACTGAACTGGGGGTAGGAATGGAATTCATGCTAACTCTGGAACAGCTATGCCTGGTACCTCTCCTAAAGGCTGCAGTGAGGAAGGAATGATTCCCTGAAACCATTCAAGTAGAAAATACCAACCTGGCCCAGCACCAAAGCTCATGATGAAAATAAAGACGAGTGCAACAGAGCAGTACGGCACCCAGAAAAAGGAATCCTATGATAGGAAATGAAAAGCAAACAAAATCACAAATTAAGATTTTGTGTATCTAGCTCCATTAGAAATATTAATCACTGCTAAGTACAGCAGTGTTAAATATAAATTTATTTACTTTACTTCCAGAAATTTTATGAGGAGATAGTCTTGGCAAAGATCTTGGTTGTATAAGTCTATTGTCTTTAACCTGTATGCACACAGCTGGGAATAGACCTCTGTTAATATGATGGTTAGCCCCAAAAATGCTTCTACTTGGACTAAAAAGTGGTTTGGGGGAAGGGAAATAGTAATGATGTCTGCCATACAATGAAACATGAAGACAGGACACAGCTGTAATGCATCAGTGGGGTCTTACCTGTAGGAAGAGTGTGACTGTGAGGAGCCCCAAAGCCAAGGCCATCACAGCAGAGTTTTTGCACAGCAGTGTCTTCCTCCCTGCACGCTCAATGAGGATGCCCTGCAACCAGGAGGACATGCTGCCAGCTCCAAAGGACAGGCCTAAGGCAGGCACTGGTGAGCTGCTCCAGTAGCTGCCATCCCTGCGTTGTGATTTTGAGAGAGGCACTCTCTTCTCTTCACAGAAATTGAATATAAATGCCCATGTTTGCAGGGTGTGTGGAGATGATTTTGTATGATTGGTTCTGCAGTTGATTTGTTGTAAAAATTTTATTCCTGAAGCTCTGCTTAACAGTATTTCTAAAGATTAAAATGAACCATGCATTACATCAAAACAGAATTCAGCTGAGAAGCCACTTACACACAGAACTGTGGAGAGGATCTCGGTGATCCCAAGCCCCAGCGAGACATAGTGGATTTGAGAAGGGAGGATTCCAGCTTTTGTAAAGATGCTGTATGCATAAAAGTAAACCTGGAAAGAATAGAAATTTTTGCTTGTGTTTACACTGATGTCTGGGGGGTTTTGGACAGGAAATAAGTTGCATTCTCTTATCATAACAGGGTAATACATAGAGATGCCCTCAGATGACACTTGCTAAAACACAGTTATCTACTTATCTCAGGTGCCAAACTTCCATGGGAAAAGATTGTAATGAACAGTAACAACAGATCCCTCCTTACAGCCACTGTTTCAGTCAGCATTTCACAGCTCGTTGCAGAGCTGACTTTTGCAAGAGCCTGTGAGCAGAGCAGAGAGCAGAGCAGAGCAGACACGTACCACGTTGGCCCCGTTGAGCTGCGTGCACGAGACCACGAGGAAGAGAGTGATGAGCTGCCAGCGCACGGCTTTGTCACGGAGCAGGTCACAAACACCCTTGGCCTTCTCCCCACAGAGGGTTTCTTGCTCTGACATCATGTCATCTATTTCAGCCATGTGGTCTCCGTCTCCCCAGAGCTGCTTCACAGCTGGAAGAAGAAGAGGGAGGTGACTCCTGGTCCAATCCCACCAGCACAGACATGAATTCTGAGGATAATTTCCTGCTTTGCAGAGTGTCTTCTCTGAACTTCAGGCTCTTTTCTTGTGTGAAATTCCTAGTGATCTGGGTTCAGATTACACACAGATCTAGATCATTGCTATCTATTTTTACCCATACATCTCAATCATGACCTCACCTTTGGCCAATAGCTGCCTATAGCCTTTCAATGTAAACCATACCTAAATTCTTACCAGTCCTTCCCCAGATACCTCCTACTAGAGGTGCTGCTATACCCTAAGAGTTCTGTCTTTTGATAGGAAATCCCAGAATGGTTGTTTCTCTGTTTCTGTCAGTAGTTGCTATTAGGGTTACTGAAAAACTGGAATGCTTATGGATATGGCATGACAATACAGAGCCTCCCTTTCTTACACAGAGCAGGAAGGTACCATGTCCACACCGTGACTGCTCAGGGCAGAATCTGTATTGTTGGAAATACAAGCCCTGTCTGATCACATCCCTTGGAGGACTCTGGCAGAGAGTAAGGGAAATACTGGTGTCAAGAGAGCACTAATATCCAAACAGAAGAGGCTGATCTTCGTTAAAGCTGAAGGTTGTTTCACAGCCAAAAGACCAAAAGTCCTTTTCCCACCTGTACCTCTCTTTCAGGCTCATATGGGGCTTTTTGCTAAAATGAATGCTTTGTGGCCCATTTCCTTACCTTTGATGCATCCCTCTTTGTCCTTTTTGTCAATGAGGAGGTAGCGGGGAGAGTCTGGGAAGAAGGGGAGGGTGAGAAGCTGAATGAGGGCGGGAACTGTACTGGCTGCCATGAGAAGAGGCCAGAGAGCCTCAGTGCCCAGAACTTCTCTGAAACAAAACCAGAGTGAGAGAGGCTGAGGAATCGTGTGCTGGCCATGTGAGCACACACAGACACAGGGTTATCCCTCAGCCCTGCTGTGTCTGTCACAGCAACTCCTCCCAAGCAGCACTTCTCAGCCCAGAAAAATGAAAATCTCAACAGGAGGTGGAAGGGCAGAGCAGAGGCCCGTGTCCTGCAGCCCATGAGTTACCCAGTGTTGACTCCTGTTGCTCAGAGGCGAGTGCAGCAAGGCCACCTGCATCCCCCTGCAGCAACTGAGGGCCCAACAGTGTCCCAGCACAAGTGCTGAAGGAAGAACTTGCAGGGGCTGATTCCTCTTCTTCTGATCCAAAGAGGCCCACGTTACAATTAGGGAAAGACCTACGGGTTGTCAGCCTGGTACTGACTGCCCCAAATAACAGCTGCTGGGTTTCCTGCAGCTTTCAGAACTCTGTGGCCAGAGTGACATGTGCCCTGGAAATGGGACAGAGCACCTTTGGCACAGGACAGGCAGGAAGAGGCTGTGCTGGGGTGATGAATCCACCATAGGGGTCTGGTTTTGTGTGTGTGTTTGATAAGCCAGTTTGTGTGTGTTTTCAAGTGCTTTTGGATTGATCTGATATTCCCCACTCCTTCCAAAAAAAATAGAAAGTAAAGGTCAGCTCATGAAAAGATTGATTTCTTTCAAACCCAGTGAAATCTGTTAAAGGTTTTTATTACCTGTATTTTGATCTGTCTCTGTAGGAAGGAACTTTATTCTTCAGGATTAAATATTTTGTATGATTTCTGTTTCCCATTCACTAAAATCAGGAATTTGGGCTACTTTAGTCTGACTACCCTGGAAACATCTGAAAACAGTTGCTGAGTTGCCTATCCACAGTTGCATTGATATATGCATATATTTTAATAACAGACTAAATTGGGTCTGTTTCAGACCCTCTTACCTGAGACCCAGAACAAATCCTACAAATTTCCCAAAGGCAATGGCAGTAGAAGCTGTTATGCCGATCAGCCCACGGAGCTTCCGTGGGGCACATTCCCCAGCATACATGAGATGGATATTCAGAGCTAAACCTGCAGTGACAAAGAACTGTTTAGGGCAATGCAAACCACCAAGGGTGTGGTGTTTTGGAGGGGTCCATTATGGACAAAGCCTGTAGGGGTTGGCTTTGAGATACCTTTTTATCTGTGTTGAGTACATGTCTGCCCGATGTGAAGCATGTGACTCTTACCGTGGCCTTGTGTCTTTGCTAAATATTCCACGTGGAAAGCACCTGCTCCTGGGAAGGCCAGCAGGCTGGCCTTCTCTTATGTTATTTCCTACAGCCACATATACAGGACTGTAGTTACTCCCTTTAGCCTCAGATGATGTATTTCAGTGTCTATTCAGGATGCTATGTGCCTTATTTTGTCCTTGAAGCCAAGCAGTTAACTAATTCTATACATTCAATTTGCATTTCAGTGAATGAATTAATTAATATTTATCCTCTCTCTTTTTTTTTTTTTTTTTTTTTTGCTGGTTAGTGTTATCTTTACCAATTTCTCAGGGATAAAAATCACTGGGAGAATGTAACCATTTGGAAATTAGAATTTCCCAGTTTGGAAACCCTTCCCTTGTCTGTAATACGTAGGGCAGCATTAGCCACAGTGAGAAGCAACAGAAACAGCAGATGACAAGAGGTCATCTTTCTACTAAGTGAGTATATTCACCTGAAATATTGCATGTTTTGGCTTTTTCAAAAGGCACCACCTTTTATGTGGATTGGATGTAAAGACAGAAGAAAGAGAAATGGAGATGTCAGGCATTACTAATTTAATTCTGTTTGTGGTTTCTTATTTAATTAAAAATGCATTCAGCAATCATGTCCTCTGTAGGGTTTAGTAAAAATCTGTGGTCTCTGTACTGATAAATCTTTGTGACCCCGAGTCACTGTTCTTCCAACTCTTCAGTACCATAGGTAGGAATGTTAATTTACCTCCACACACTCCGGAAGACAACCTTCCAGCGATGATCATCTCAAAAGACCCGCACAGCCAGCTGAGTCCCATCAGAGCTGCGCTCAGCAGAGCAGGGATATTGGCAAACAGCATGGCCTTTTTCCTGGAATTCACTTAAATTAACACGAGCATAAATATTGTCCATGTGTCATTCACAGCCTGACAGAAGTGACACGAATTGTGCCATGCTTACAGACTCTGTGCCAGCTTCTGAGATCAGCTGCAGTGAAGTAAATGGGAAATGGGAATGGGAAAATTGTCACACACTGATAAGTTAGTTCAAGCTTTTGACGCCTCTAGTGGAGCCAATATCTACACTAAAGAACAAGCTTTGTGAGTGATTGTCTGTGAAATTCATTGTAAAATGCATTCCCTCCTTGTGTAATTTCCTTGGACTGGATTCAGTTTGGACTTTGTAAGGAAGAGGGTATGATTTTCTTTGTGATGATTGGCAGATGTTGTACTGACCCTTCATTGGAAGCAGCCCTGGGCTGCTCACAGTGTCACTTTACAGGTGGTGTTTCTCCCAAGACACTGTCATTATTGTTGCAGTTGTGGGTGTAAACAGAAGGACTAATGTAATCACTATTCCTACCTTCCAAATCGAACAGCCAAGTATCCGGCAGAGGAGGAGCCCAGCAGCCCCCCGATGCTGTAAACGGACACAATGAAGGACCACATCAGAGTGATCATGTCCTCACTGGGAGAGGAGCCATATCTCTTCAGCCAGGTCTCACGGATGAAACTCTTGATGTACTTGAAAAGAAAAGTAGAAACCAATGGACTCAGTCAGCATGCTCTTTGCATAATTGCACCACTTTTTAATTCTTCTACTGGCCTTTTTGATACATTTCTATGGATATCTTGGTTGAAATCTTAGCAATTTTGCATGGCAGGTTGGTCTTCTGTTTTTGTACTAAAAGCCGGTGGTTTTGCTCCCTGATCTTTCCCGCCATTCCCGCTTGTGTGTCTGTGTCTCTTGTCCACCTGCTGTATCTGATGCCCTGCGTGAAATCCAGGTTTGACTTCAACTGACTCAAGTGAGAGCAGGTTTTGTCCCTTGATATGGTCTGTTGTGAGATTTCTCTGGCCTACTGTTCACAACCTCCATGGCACCCTCATTCTTGGTGAGGGTTCACAGTGTGACAATCGTATGAGCTCAGTGTCCTTGGTACCACTTAGGATAGCAAACACCTTCCCTAATTTTCCTTTTCCAGCTGCAGGTATCAGTGCTGAATCATCTCTAGAGCTGCAGTCCTGCCCTGTCCTATTGTGCCTTACAGTCACTTAGGTATGGTGTGTGTGACCAAGTACATGTACAAGGAGCTCCCTGAGCACTGGAAAGAGGAGGATGCTCTGTGAGCAATTCAACTCAGTAAGGGTGAAACAGCTGACTTTATGGATATCATTCATCCTTCCCTTTCTCAGCTCTGCCACATTAGATAGAAGTTCAATCTCCATGAAACAAAAGAGCAATAGTAGCTACTTAGAACTAAGAAACCACAGTAAGTCCAGCTTTGAGAGTAGAACAAAAAAAGTTAGTGATTGCATATAGAGGCACTGAGATCAGAGAAATCCATACTAGTAGCTCACTCTCTGAGCTCTCCACACTTACCTCAGCAGGAGAATTGATAATGGAGACCTGCAGCCCATACTGGAAACCTCCACCAATGCCCAGGACAAAAGCCAGCAGAAAGAGGTTGTAGCTCATTTTCTGGTAGGAAATAAAAGCAGCAAACAAAGGTGGTACAGCTATTCAGACAAGCCTCCAATGCCCTGTGTTTCCCTCAGGAGCTCTGGCAGTGTCAGCAGTGCCACGCACCTGCCTCCTCCAAGACCAGGGAGCCAGCACCAGGAAACCACAGCTACTAAAGCACAGGAGAGTGAGGAATCTGAGGAGAGACAAAGCTCATAGCTGTGTCCCAGAACCCAGTTACACACTTCAGTGCTTCTGCCTTCAGCTTTGGCCATCTTAATCTGCACTGTCATAAGTAATTAGTTGTGGGACCATGGTGCAATGTGCAAGCATGCTGTGAACAATTCCATCTATTTGTCCTTTCCTCTCCTCCTTTCCCACTTGTTATCTCACCTAAGTGAATATTTTGCTCTGTGACTTGGCTGAGACTGGATAAACATTTGGGGATTGAAGGGCATTCTTGGTTTCATAGTTTATTCACCCTGTCTTAGAACTATCAGATAGGAAAGTTAAGAATATAGGACTGCAACATATGCACACCTCAACCCCTCCCATTCCCAACTCCTCCTGTTCCTGACTGTCCTAGGGATATTCTGGCCAGCAAGGATGGTGTGATGCTGCACCTCTGCCTCTAGAACAGATCACATTCAAACCATCCCTGCCAAATATTTACAAGCTGATTTCTACTCAGGTGAATGCCATTGCTTGAGTGGGCATCAAATTCCTCCATGTTGACTCCAAAGCCCTGAATAAATTCGGAATTTGGCACAATCATATATTAAATGACAACAATGTCCTGTCTGTCGAAGCATTAGGAAGAAATGAGATTCACAGTTTCTGCTACTAGATATCCCTGCCATCCTTTGTGCTACCAAAAATGACACACATCAGCATGAAACTTCCCATCAGCAAGAAAATCTGTCAGCCCTGTTCTAAGTGCAAAGTTTATATCAACCCTGCAGCGAATTTCTTAGTCTCATCTCCACCCTGTACTGTAACACCACTGCTTCATTTTCCTGTTGCATCTCTTGGATGACTTTCCAGTCTGACTGATTTCAAATTGGGGAAGATTTTTTAAACTTAATATCCATGCTAGAATTGCTTTTAAAAAAATTATTTTTGGTTTCTTTTCTTTTCTAGTTATCTCTTCCTATTCTTTCTTGACTGGAAAGAATTGTTTTCTATCCTTTGGTGTTTATATCTTTCAGATACTTTGTTCAAAACTTTTTCATTGTGGAGGACTTTTTCAGTCTTCCAGCCCTTCTCCATCTGTCAAACCATTAGCTTTATTTTGTTGCTGTGCTCTGAACTCCTTGGGTTAGTCTTCCCCTCTTATATATCGGGTATTAAATATAAATTTACTCTTAAATCCACTTTTCTTCGCTTTTTAAAAGTAATTTCTGGCACGATATTTTTCAGATATGACCTCCATACAATCATTTTAACTGCATCTGATTGAGATTTATTTTTTTTTCTGTACTGAATTTACGCAACAGGTCTTTTAAATAGCAGAAAGGAAAAAAAATTATTTACTGCAAAAATTCTACTTGGGGAGAAAAAAGATAAACATATACCAACTTGCATGCAAAGGTAGTCATTCCCACTTCATCCTAGGTCTTCCCTGATGCTTTCTTTGGTTACCTCGAAAAAAGTCACTCTATATATAGAGAAAGAGGAGCCTGAGGTAATATTTCAACATGTCATTTCATTCTTTCTCAGTGTTCACATTCCCTTTGGTTTGTCATGAGGTTCTTGTTGTTTGGTTTGTCATTATTGTGTTGGTTACTGATGAAGCTGCGGGCAGTTTTGGCGAGCTGTGCATTCCTGCCAGGTCTCTGGGCAGGCTCTGGCAGCAGCTGAGGGATAGGAAGAGCTGCAGGAGATGAGTAAAGGACAACAAAAAAAGCAGTGATGGAAGCCAAAGTCCAGGGACTGGCACAAACTAGACTGGACTGGTCTGGACTCCCCAAGTCATAGGTTGGGTAATCAGTTATCACACTTAAAGGAAAAGTTCCTGACTGCTACCTTGAGCCTCAATACAGCAAAGCCTTCTGAAGCCTGACTGGGCCAAGCCTGACTTTGCCTGTGCATCCAGCTCTTGAACTGTGGGATCAGTTGACTCTTGAAGAGTGATGGTAATTGCCTGAATGTTCAAGTCTGTGTCCCTATAATATATGTCAGGTGCTAAGAAAGCTGAATATCAGTTTTAAATCCTGACTTCAGAATAAATAAATTACATCTTTACTTTTATCCATAATTCTCAAAGGGCCTCTTTATCTGGCAGTCTCTGAGCTGGTTCTCTTAAAAGGCTTTTACAAGTTATTCAAAGAGCTTAGGGGGGGAATTCCATCTCCTGGTGAGAGGCTGCACTTGACGGTTCCACAGGCCAGGATGCTGCGTGTCTTTGGTTTGGTGCCTGGAAAAATCCCAGCCCCAACTGGGTTGGAAGTGAGAGGTAGTTTGTGAAGAGGAACAGTGTTTGAAGGCAGTAACTATTTTTCTCTGGTGTTGATGGTTATTAATAAATCCAACAGTGCATAATTACATGATTTGAAAACAGTAATATGAAACGTAATGAGTCTCTGAGGATCACTTTTCAACGTGTTCTTGTTTAACACTTCACATGATTAGAAACTCTGAACAAGTGTCATGTATCTTTTCACAAAGGTGTTTGAACTCAGTATCAATTAACCAACTTGTTCAATGCTTCAATTAAAATTTAACAAATTAGACCAACTGAAACGTAACCATTGTTTGTGTTTGCCTAATCAGTCTAAAGAGCCCTGATTTCAGGAAATTTGAATTCGTGTTTTCTGCCATACATACTCACTGGGCTAGCTCTGAAACTCAGGAAGTCAATTAAATGTGCGTAATTTCTGAACAGGAGTGCTTCATATCGGCAGGTGAGGATGGCCTCTGGCCTGCCAGGGCTGTGGGAAAAGCATGGTGTTGACTCATGGGAGTAGTCACAGAGGTGGCCAAGGTGAGAACCTCTGGACATTGGAGGGCTTCTCTCTTCTCTGACCTGTGTGTCCCAGCAGTGTGTGCCAGGCCTCTCCCTCTGCCCAGGCAGTCTCTTCAGTCCATCCCTGCCTCCTTTCCTGCATCCTCACTACTGCCTTGTCTTCTCTGCTTTATTTCTTCTGTCCTTCCTCTGGTCCTCACCAAAGGAAGGACAGAATATTTTGCCACCATTATGATGGTACTGTCACTTTGTGTTTTACTCTTTCCGTCTGCGCCTCACTGTTCTGTTCAAAGTACAGAAATGAAAAGTATCTCTTCAGTTCCCAGCTCCAGGGAGTCCTGCTCTTCAAAATCCTGCATACTCAGTGTTTTCTAAGAGCAGAGAAACCTGCTCTTGCCAATGTCTGTATATTAATGACTTCTAAAATAGCAACAACCACAAAGGAACAAAAGTTTACTTTATTTAGTTTATTTTTGTATGTTATAAACTTTAGGTAGTGAAAGAAAGTTCTTGCACAGACTCCACTTCTGAGAAATAGATCTGCTGCTCCACACATGCCCTGTAATGACAGTAATACACTCTGGAAATGTTTACAGTCTTGTCATTCAAAAGTTCTGTATTTTTCTAAAAAATGTAGTTAAAACATATACCGAGAGAAACTTTAGCAACTTCTCTTGAAAATGTATGTGTTCTTTGCTGCAACCATCAGCACTGCCATGACTTTCATACAAACAAAGTAAAAATAAAAGAGATGGCCTGATGATGATTTTGAGAGGAAACTGGAAGAAACTTTACGGGTCAGGCCAATGCCTTGAAAGGCCGTATTAAATGAGGAGTGTTGCCCTGTTCTGTACCAGGCTAACTAAAAAGAACCACCATCACATCTGGGTCTTCTCCAGTGTGTCTATGGAGAGAACAGGAACATGCTGCAGAGAATGTCCAGGTGTGATCTAAATCTCCACACCCAAAATAAGCTGCTGCATATGAGCTCCTCACCACACTTGCCGTTAGCAGAGCACAGGTGCAAAACCCTACAAGGTGCACCAGCAGTGTCTGTGAGAGCAGGACAAACTGGACTGGGGAACCTGTGCTTTACAACATAGGACTGGAAGACAACAAACCAGCCATGAGGAAAACCAGCCCAGAATAAATATTCTGCAAAACAATGCCCAAAAGTCTGTTGTATAATAAGCCACTTAGCAAGAACTGGAAGCTTTCTTCTTAATCCATCTGTCACATGCTTTTATAGCTGAAAATAATTAACTGCTCACTATTGCTCAACAAGTAGGGTTCTATTCGAAATCACTTAATAACAGAAACAACGGGAGCACCAAGACAAGGTACTGAAAATTTCATCTGGTGTCTGAAAACAGAATTTAATCGCATTAATTTCTGTGTTAGAGAGCCCAGATTCAGGGGTAAGGAAAGAAAGGCTTCTGAGTTGGAAGCTACTGTTTGGATAGAGGAGAAATCAGGAGGAAATTTGCTAAAACACTACATGGTGTTGTCTGACGATAAGAGAATAAGCCATCACTCTGTCACTGGATTCTGAAGTATGCATGTGTTACTCAGTACTAAAAACTGAAAACAGATTATCAAACTTTTGCTTGTACTCATCAGTTCAAGTATGCGTTTTCAGGGTGAACTTAAGGACCTAAGGGTAATGCATTGTCCCTAACCCTACTTGGTGTCCTCTTGGTGTCCCTGCAAGGGCACACAGCCACCGCTGAATTCACTGTGCCATTCCCCCAGGTACCATCTTCCTTTCTTCTGCTACAGTGTGGTGGTTTTGATCTCGTCAGGGCCTTTATAGAAACCTGAACGGGTCTTAGTTTTGAAGTTCCGTTTCTTGAACTCCTCCGAGATTTCCAGGAAGGACTTTCCCTTTGTCTCAGGAAGAAAAAACCCAACGTAGAGTGCAGTGGAGACACAGACCACAAGGAATGGGATGTAGCAGAAATGTGCTAGACTTTTCTGAGGAGGAGATAAAAAACAAGACAGTGTTGGTGACATTCTGTGTGGTGACAAATAGGCCACTAATCCCTGTTCCTGCATGGACTAAGGGCAGCCAGGGGGGTATTTCTGTGCACCCTGGTGAGGGTCTCACATGCCTGGAGGCAACAGCTCCCCAGCATAGGTTGGGAGATTTGAGATAGCAGGAATAGTATTTCAAAATGTCTTTTTCTCTCTTTTTCTCTTATATAGTTATATAGAATAGGAACCTTTAGTAGGAAATAAGACAGGAATGTATATTGTGGAGTTCAGCTCCCTTCTGCTTCAGGAATCACCTTAGGGAATGGTGTCAGGGTTCAGACAAAGAAAATTGCATCACATCTTTAGTTGGGCACAAAGGAGCAATATTGGTCATTCATGCCCCAAATTAATCTGCTCCCAACCTCAAATCAGAATTCACCATAGGGAACATGGAGAAAGTTTGGTTTAAAGGAGCTCTGGCCACTTTTCTCAGAAAGATACTTTTCATAGCAGCGCTGTCCTGCTGCTTTCAATATTCTCTTTTCTTGGTCAATACTAGAGCTTCTTTCTTGTACAGAGCACTAAAGAGCTGCAGGTGATTGCTTTGCCTTTGGAACGCACCACGATGAAGGGAAAGGCTGTTCCAACCAGAAACAGGTTGAACCAGAGCAGGGAGCCACAGATCATGTAAGCAGCTGGCCGGGACATTTGATCAAAAACCTCTGTGGGCAGAACTCCTGTTACACCAGCTGGGAAGAGAAATGGCAAGAAAGTTAATAATATTGTTGACATGACATTAAAAACAAGAGAACACATCTTAACGAGAAAACATATCATGAAGTATTAGAGAACAGTAAATTATTATTCAGCAAATTATTCTCACTAGTCAACAATGCCAGAAAAAGTGGTAATAGAGATTAACAGCAGAGGGGAATTTTTAGGTTAAATATTAAGAACTGGCTAATTATTCAAACTTTCTCATGTTAGAATGAACTGCCAGGAAAAGTTTTGTAATCCACATTATTCTTACCAGGACCAAACCGTGAGAAAGGCTTATAATTAATTCAGCCCCATGGCACTGCAGGACAAGAAATTGTTGCCAACTTGTGTGGCTTGTGACACTGGCAGCTTGGTTCTATTCTTACCTGCCCTCCTTCAAACTCATGTAAGCAAAAAAGAGCTTCACATATACTCACACACCAACCAAACATCCACACACAGACAGTCTGTATATTGCCCCCACAACCACAGAAACCAATGGATTCTGATAAGGAAATGCATGTTAGTAGGATAACAAATAGATGTGGAAATTGTGCTTCCAGGTATCTGCAAGTAAATAATCAAGTGATGTAACTGCCAATCTCTTGGGTTGAAGTGAAGCATCGGAAATGCTGGTTTGCAGCCCTCATGGACTGAGCAGCAAATCAAAACCTTGGCATCTGTTTAGCACAACAATCACCCCCAAGTGCCTTGGCCTTACAGCCAAGATGGCTGTGAGGAGGAACAGCACAGAGGAGTGCACAGAATGACCCTGCACAACACCGACTTCCAGGGGCATGCAGTGCAAGCCCCTGAGAAACAGCTGAACACTGCTGGCAGAAACTGCCTCATTCCTTTGAGCATGCTGTGGCTAAAGAGGGTCTGAGAGTTTCTATAAGCTGCTTGCACACATCTCCAAGCCCCTGCAGCACCCAAAAGTTTCAGTGAAAACACTGAGGGAACTGACCTGGTCCGATTCCAAAGCTCAGGATATAGGCGAAAATGCAGGCCATGCTGAGATAAGGCATCCAGCTAATCTGAGTCTACAGCCACAGAGACCAATGGAAAACCAGTGAGGGCACTTACACTTATTTGCCACCACTGAACACCCCAGTCATATAAAAGGCAAAGCCCAACTCCGTTCCATTTAAATAATTAAGTCAAGTTTGCTACCTGCTGGCTCAGAGCGACCATGAAGACAATGGCCCATCCTGCCATGAAGATGTAGCCCCCCAGCAGCAGCGGCCTCCGACCAGCGTAGTCTATAATCATGTTCTGCATGAAGTAACACAGTGAAATAAAGCAAGATATTTGACCTGTGTTTATAGTTCCTGCCTACTCCCTCTTCCCAATTCAATGCTCCATGCCTAGTTCACTCTACAGCTACTTTAAGGATGTTGTCTGCTTCTTAGTAAAAAAAAAAAAAAAAAGGAAAATTCAAAGGAAAGGTCTGGTGGCAGGAGTCAGGCAAGAAGGGTGTTCAGGAGAGAAGAGAATGTCCCAGCTGCAGCCTAAACTCTGCCACTCCGTATGGACACAAAGCATGGGAGTTACATTTTTTAGAGATTTTGGACCAAATAATTCTGCGTTAACCTGTCTGGCTGTGGGTGCTGACAAATGGCCTGGCTGCTGTGCTTAAAGGGTTTCCTTGGCATGAAAAGCAATACAAATCCAAAATGAGCTATTAACAGCCTCCACACTGTGAGCAGAGGCTGCATGTCAGCAGAGTGCAGTAAGAGTCTCACACAGGTGACAGACGTGATCAGTTCACAGCTTCCTGTGCCGATTACAACATATGGGATTTTGTCATGAGGAATTCCAGCCTCTTGGAACACATAAGCTGCATAAAAATACATCTGTGGAGAGAAGAGAGGAGAAAGCTGGAAGAGAAAACATCTGAAAATACATCCCACTGTTCTTCCCGAAGGACCACACAGAGAGTGACTAATGTGCTGTCACACAGGCTATTTTGATGGCACCCCTCTGAATCTTTCCATAATGCACAGGTGTACTTTGGGAACCAAACATCTGAGGTTTGAAGGTCTCCACAGGCAGGAAGGCCACTGTTTGTTCTTTTGCAGCAGACAGGATGTTAAACCCAAGAGCTCTCCCCCACACCCCAGGGCACAGCGCTGCTGGTGCTCCTGTGCCAGCTCTTACCGAGTCGTTCCCGCAGAGCTGCATGGCGCTGCTCAGCACAACGATGCTCACCAGCTGCCACCTCAGAGATGGATTTTGGAAGAGCTCCCACGGGTTCTTTGCTCTCTGACCTTTAACAGCAGCCTGTTCAGCCAGCATCTCTTCCAGCTCCGCACTCAGGTCACTGGTGCCTCTGAGCTTCTGCAGTGCTGCAAGGACAAGGGAACCTCTTACCCCCGAGCTTTACCTTTGGTTTGTCATTCTGCAGAGCTTGTGATCATGCTGTCACCTTCACAGAGATGGCCAGTTGTGGTGCAGCCACGTGAAGGATTTGGGGGAAAGGGAGTGCAAATCCCCCCCCATTGTTTGATAACCCACCAGTGCCAAATATTTCAGCAGCTGTGCTTCTGACTCAGATCTCAAGTGACTTCCCTGGGAATTGCAGGCAGTTAAGATGTTCTTGGTACACAGCACATATTTCCCAGAAAGTAATTCCAGCCACTCCTCATATGAGGATTTGTATGCCACAAATCTAAGCAAATCCTTTAATATGAATTGGCTTCAGATTTGATCCCAAGCTCTTCAACCAGCATTTATTTCTCTTCATAGTTACAAAACATATTTGCCATTGTGAACAATTCTCACCTTTTGACCCTCCTATCATAGCAGAAAAGCCTTTTGTAGAAAGATGTCTTTCAGTGACTTCAATTGATCAAAGATATTTAAGATTATAGGATGTTCTTTATTTTAGAAGGAGGAAGTGATCTTAACAATTTTCATAATTATGTATGTTTAGGATATGCAATTTGCCCAGTCAGTAGATTACAAATGCTCAGTGAGGAGCCAAGCCATCCTGAACTCACCAGAGATGCAGGATTCTTTGTCTCCACGGTCAATCAAGAGGTATCTGGGACTTTCAGGTAACCAAGGCAGAGCTGTGAGCTGGATCAGGGCAGGTACCACATTGCTTGCTAAAAGGAATGGCCAGCTCTCCTCCCTGCCTAGGAGCTCCCTAGAGAAAAAAAAATAAACCTAAAAACCTAAATTTACACAGTACATTTAACAAGCTGGCAAAAGCCCAGCAGCCTCTGCTGCATGAGGGCACTGAAAATGAATGGAAAGAAGGGGGTAGTAAAGAGGAAAAAAACAAAACAAAAGAAAACAACAACACCAAAACCAGAAGATTTAATAATTGGGATTTTTGCTTTACATTACCTGAGTCCAACCACCTGTCCCAGCACCAACCCTAGAGCTGTAAATGATGCAGAGGTCAAGGCCACAGCTCCTCTGAGCTTCTTTGGGGCACTTTCTGCCAGATACATGGGCTGAATATTCATGCTCACACCTGGGTAAGGCAGACAAACAGTGACCTCAGCTCGTGGGCGGAGGAGACAAGGATAAATGCAGTCAGCCACCTCTGGAGGCTGCCAGCTGCACTTTTCTGCTGTGGGCTATGGAATGACCCATCTACCAGTGCTCATTATTTCTCCAAACCTTCAATTTCATGGCTATTCTTTGCACAGGCTGCTAAACACCCATTTCCGGACTCATCAGTGCTAGTGGATAATGAAACTGAAACCTGTCAGGGCCTCTGTCCTGTGGTATTTTCACCACCAGATCCAAGGTGGTAAGCAATGCTTCCCTCTACTTCCCCATTTTGAGGGGAATATCGTATTTTAAGTCACTTACATTAATCATTATTTCCTTGGATGAAGTTCTACAAGAGCTTTAATGTTATCACTTGTTCTGGTGAGGGACTGACATTCTTACAAGCAGATAGGGATCAAATTTAAGCTCAGATTCTGCCTGTGCTCACAGATACTTGTATTACACAAAACCTCTGCCTGTGTGTGTTTTTCTAAAAAGAGGCCTCAGAAGCAAAATATAAAATCTGTATATACAACTTCTTAGAATCATAGAATAGAATCATAGAACCAGCTGGGTTGGAAAGGATCTCTGAGATCATCAAGTCCAACCCTTGATCCACTTAATTCATTTCTTAATTCACTTATATGTGTCTGGTCAGCCTAGACGATTAATTGGTTTAATATCTTGCATCATCTCTATTTGAATATCTTCTGTTTCTAATTGCTCCCTGTTATCATACCCTTTGTCCTGCTGTGTTCCTCGTGTTGCCATACCTGCATTCATGCCAGTGAAGAATCTGCTGAGCATAATCATTTCAAAGGATTTTGCCATTCGGCTGAATCCTGACAAGGCTGCAGCTATGATCACAAAGACGTTGTTCAGCAGCAGGGACATCTTCCTTCCAGGAGAAAAGACAGTGGTGAGCACTTGTCTGTCAGGTTTAGTTATCAGATAAAACATTTCACGTTGCAGATCCCACCTGCCACGCCTGGAAGCTCAAGGTGGGCTCAGCCCCATCACAGAATGTCCTGATTACCCAAAGCCCGACACGAGGGGTCTGGGTGCCACAAGGTGTCCCTGCAGCGCTGCCTTTGGGCACACTGAGGGCACCACGAGGGTGCCCAAATTCAGGGCTCTCCTGCTCACACGCGGTTTCCGTTTGAATGGAGAGGAGCATTCCTTCAGTAAGCCATGTGCACTGTGGGCTGAAAATGCTAATTTGTTGAAACATGCATTTTTCATGTATAAGTATCATTGCTGTGAAGCTTTGTTAGAAAGTTTTCGTGTGTCCCAGGAGAAATTTCTGTTGAAAACCAGGAAAAAAAAAAAGAGAGCTCTGTTGACCCATAACAGCCAGTAATTCTCTCTAGTCCCAGCTCACTGCCTTGCCAGTCAGTCTTTTTTAATCTTATTTATGATGGGATATGATTTTATTCCAAAACAATACAGGGTGAAGTCTCTAAAATTTTAATTGGATAAAAAAGCTGTATCCTTTCCAGATATTCATAACCATGAAACAAGTAAGCCATGGGAGACAGTCCTTTACAGGGGTGCCTGCTTCATCGTACCAGAGAAACAAAGCAAAGTCATAGCACATAGAGGAAAATTTTAGGGTCAAGAGAGAAGGCAGGAAAATCTGACTACCTATTAGTTTATGTTTGCAACAGTGAGTGTTCTGTTTTTGTTTTTTTTTTTTTTTCTGAAGAGAACTGGAGATAGAGCTGCCTATGAAAGATAAGTGAGGTAAGACAGGTACTTCTTACAGACTCCAAAGCAGAGAAAAAAGCCCTCCAACTGTGGGAATTTAACGAATACTTCCTAAAATATATCAGACAAAAAGGTGACCTGTGAGACAGGAGGACCTGGGATGCACAACCACCCTCTGTTTTTCCAGTGTCATTCCTGTCAATCCCCACAGTTTATTTTGAAGAAAACATACCTGGTCTGACCCATTATGATTTCCTATTTAAAAAGATGGGAGAAAACTGGCACCAAAATGATGGTGGTTATGTAGGTGGCTACTGTGATACAGAGGTGATCCGAAATCCTTGTAGCACCTCAGCTGGGCTGGAATATGATGAGAAGGTAGTGTAGGGGGAGAAAGTGTTCCCCACTGGGTTTTGAGATATGAAATACTATTGTATCAGGTAGTTTCTCCCTGCCAACTTGGACTGTTTAATGCAGACTGGTCTGTGATAGGAAACACATTTTCATTATTTTTAACTACAGCGAGTACTGTTCTGTAGGGCTCCTAATTCCTCTCAGACCAATGGAAGCTGCAAAGCTCAAATTGAACTCCAGCACCCTCTTACCTTCCCAACATGATGGCCATGGGACCAGCAACCACCGCTCCAGTGAGGCCTCCCAGGGGGTATGCAGAGACAGTGAAGGACCAGAGAAGCAGGATCACGTTGCTCTCCAAGGGAACGCCCGTGCGCTCCAGCCACGTCGTGTTCATGAACGTCTGGATGTACTGAGGGAGAGGGACAGGGCAGCATAACCACCACACACAGGTGGAGGGCACTGAGAAATATAAAGTCTCCCTTATTAATACATCTATTTATTCTGTGTTTATGCCTCCCATCTCCTCCAGTTCCTAGATTGGTTTTTAACAGAGCGGTTAGAGTTAAAATTCTTGCTGTTGAAAAGTTGCAGTTGGTTCCTATCTGTATGTTGCTACCTTGGATGATTTAAAAACTAATTTCATGGGTCCAACATTGAATATAGAGGCAAAAATCAGTTTCAAAGGGTGCAGGTTAGAAAATTTTAGAATTACCTTTGCTAAAGGAGTTGAAACAAAGATTCTTAATAAATTCTTGTGACACTACATCCTGCTCAAGGTTGGCTCTTGACAACAAGGTGCTGTACCCCAGATGTGAATTATCCAGAGTGAACAACACATCTTTCCCTTCTGTCCCTCAGCACCAGCAATGGCACATCACTGTCCATAGTCCCTCAGAGCCACTAAGGAAGGGTTGGGAGGAGGCCCTCAGACAGGTGTCCTTTGGGACTAGCAGCACTTACTGAAGCTGGAGCATTGATGATGGAGATGTTGTAACCGTATTGGAAAGTGCCTCCAATCCCAGCAGCACATATTGTCAGGATCAGGATCTTGTTCTGAAGCTGAAGAAGAGGGACAGAAAATGGATGGCTTCTTTGCAGAGAATAAAATGACCTCACAAAATTCACACTTCGAGCTGGGAGATTTTTCTCATGTCCCTGTATATCCAGGGCATTTGGGGTATGCTATTTCTTCTACCTTTTCATGATAATAATACATATTTTAGATTAAAATAGAATACCTTTCCTCTGATTCTGCACATTTTGTTCAGAGCAGATCATGGCTCTCAGCTGAACTTCCTGATTGCACAGTTATTTCCACATGTTCCTGTGTATAGCAGTCTACAATTGCATATTCACTATTATGATACAGGTGAAAAGTGATGCAGACCGTGGGTCCTGTGCCATGTTCTGGTCTCCTTGAGGACATTTCTTCATCAGCATTGTCCATGGCTTATATTACCAACTAACACCATTGCTGTGCCTTGGGAAGCACAGGCAGGAGGATGGGGCTGCCTCATGCAGCATCATGGGATCAAGTAAAAGTGAGGTCTCTTGACTTTTGGAAGGGTGTAGAACAAGCTGTCCTGGCCCAGCATGGCAGCTGGTAGCTCGTTGTCAGCTCACTGGCAGGGTGATGATAAAAACATCCATCTTTTTTTCCACTACTTTGTGCCTGTGCCTTTGGTTTCCCTGTCTGTAGGCGAAATCCTGTGACAGGCAAGTTGTGCCCTGAGGGTATTCTTGGACTGGGAGCACTGTCCCAGGTCTCAAGACCACTCTGAGCGTGCTGGGGGCCTCTGGCCTTTAGCCTGACACGTCCAGTTCTGGGTGGCCCAGGGCCAGGATGGCCTTTGCCAGCCCCCTGCTTCAAAACCTCTCCCACTGGGAAAGCTGCTAGTGTAACATGAAGAGCCCATGCTCAGGCTTGGCTGTTTGCCAGTCAGTGCAGGGCATCTCAGGCCAGACTGTGTTTTGCTACATGAATATGACCCCATTGACCCTGAGAACTTGGATAACCCAAAGCTGGGGAACTCTTTCTGCTCTACCTGCTCTTTTTTTTCCTTTTCTTTTTGTAGAGTCCTTTACCAAAGAAGAGGAAAGTTTATTATAGTCTTGCAATAGTTCTAAAACCACCAATTCAAATAATCTTAGATTATTCCTTTCCTTGAAGTCTTTTCTTTTAAATAACTTCCATACCATCCTGAGACAGGACGTTCTCCCAGGACAGAAATAAAGCCAGACTGTTCCAACCCTGCAGCAAGAAGAGGCTGAGCTCTCTCCTGTCCCCATTAGAAGTGGCTAAATTTCACTTTGCACTTTTTGTGGCTGCACCACTTCCCTGTCTTGTTACTGAGACTTGAGCTAAGGACTGTGCTCCTGATATCTCTGCTCTTCCTAGTTATTCTAGTTCTCCAGGTGAGAGACATTTCCTCTCCCTACAATAGCACACTTCTTTTTTTAACTCCCAGTGCCTAGGACTCTACCACTCCTCCTGCTTGCTTCCCTGCTTTCATTATGGAGTACATCCCCTACAGGTCCTGTACCACAGAGCTCTTTTGTGGCCACGAGCTGAAGGCAAATGGTTTGTTTCTTCCTCCAGGAGCCACCAAACAGTTCTGTGCTCAGAGCTGAGCTGTATTTATAGAATGACCTTCCCAAGCCTTCCTTAACGCCCGGCTTCTGCACTATTTTCCCAGCCACAGCAATGTGTGCAGCTGCCAGGAGAGCCATTAGTCTGTCAGCTTTATCCCAAGGACTGTGATGAGTTGAAAAAATCATTCTACAAGAACCTGATCGCACTTACACAGCTTCATAAAAATTCAAATTAAAAAAAAATCTGTCAGCAATAATAGTAAAATAGATGTTTTACCAGTCTCTGCAGCTTGTTCATCCTCTTTCGTAGGTTTTCCTCTGTCTGCCAAAGCCTCTGGTACTCTCAGCAGTGCTCTAAAGGATTATTTAAATCTCCAGCATAGCAATGTGTATTTAGTCACCCATTACGTTTGGGTAAGACACTTGACTTGGCAGGTGTTTTGCCAGCTGATTTACATTCTCAAAACAGGGCTGCATGTTCATTAGCAAGACAGTTCAACTAATTTTGTTCAAAGAACATTCTGGGGAAAAGTAAGAACTGTTGAAAGACAATTTGGGAAAATGATTCTCCAAGATCCAGAGCAGTCTAAATCGTTTTGAAGGCCAGGGTGGTTTGCACAGATTCCCTCTCAGAGTGTCTGGCACAGTTGCCCAGTATCGCTTGTCTGATTAAATGTGAGCAAAGCAGAAGTGAACTACAAGTTTTTCTTTTTCTGACTGTATTTGCCCTAGGATCTGAAAGACAAACCTTGGTCCTGCCCGTGACAGGAATAACCGAAAGCCAAACCTTTCAAATTCTTATAATCCAGGGCCTTTCCCGGTAGTCCTGTCTGTGTGCTGGTGCCATGCAGTCAATCCAGATGCTGCTGACAAGGCTGTGAGTGATGCACAGAAGGCTGTGATGCTGTCCCCTCCCCACGGTCTGGCATAGAGCAGACAGCCACTCCTACAGCACTAGATCTTGTCATGTACAGCAGACAGCAAGACAGCAGTAACAGCAAGGACAGCCTTGCTGCTCTCTATAAAATAGAAAGGCTGTCCCTGGCAGTGAGAAATGGTGCAACTTTATGAATCCTAGAGACGGGCCCAGTGGACATGGAGGTATATTGCACTGCCAGCAGTAACATCAAAGCTACTGCTTCACAGAATACCTGGCCTTTAGGAATAATCATGATATTTTAACATCCTTTCATCCTGCAGATTGCAATTTGTGAGGGCCCTGACAGACTTCAAAGTATTCAAAATAAGTGAAACTTTTTTTAAAATGCCTCTTCGTCCCTACTCAGGTTTTACTGAACCTGAACAGAAATATTAATCTGTTTCACATCACAGAAGTATTTTCTCACGATTGTGTGAGTAGGGATCTAGTGCTGCATCAGCTGCAGCCACTAAGTGGCAGGAGAAGCACAAAATTTGCTGCATTAGGCTCTGAATCCAATATTCCAACACTGTGGCAGGAGTTAGATGAACACTTCCAATAGCTTCCCAAACAGTAACTTGTTCACTGGGAAACAGAGGTAACTTTTACTGAACTTTACAAGTCAACCTATAGTTTAGGTAGCATGTATCAAAAACAGTAACATATTCAAAAAGAAAAGCTCTAGTTTCTTAATGTTGTGTACTCTGATGCTATGTCTAGATCTGTGTGTGCAGCTGGCTAGCTGGAAGTAACAGCTGCCTTGATGAGGAGTGGAGGGATAGCCTTTTTTTTCCTCCTTCACAACATCTATATATGACTTGTGCTTTGGTGTTGAGAAACGTTCACATTGGTTGTTTTCCCAGCTGGCTTTGTGCAGCACCTCAAAAAACATCATTCCCAATGTTCAGTCCTCGTTCTCAGAATTTCAGAGTTGCAGCTGATGTAGATGAGAAATGCCCAGTCCTGGGGTCTGTACCAGGGTATATCCACTGCACTGTAGTTACTCAAACTCCTGGCTCTGGAGTTCATAACTTCGCATAAACCCGGCAGGTTTCCAGCAGTACTGAGGGAACTATCACCCTCTTCCCTTGAATACTTTTTCAATTAACTCAAACCTGTCATAATCAAGGTGAAATACGATGCCATGAGCATGGGAGAGTAGTTATTTGGAGAATGTGATGGCAGGCTCTGCCTGTAATTATCTGACTGCAGGAATAAGTGGTAATCCTGCCATTAGGAAAGATCATCAACACATGCTCTTTGATCTGTCACACACTGAAAGGTTCCCAAGTTTTAGAGTGTTTTTACCCCAGAATCATCTCTGCCAACTGCAATTACAGTGCAAGAGGAGAAAAGGGGCCCCATTTCCATCTGTGAGGCTTGGATCTACAGGATGAATTCTCCCTACAAACACTACACTGTAAATTGCAGAAGAGATTTGGAGCTGCTCCTGGCTGGTTGTTGGCTATCTCCCAAACTCTAGCCTGGATATTTCTACAAACCCTTCTCACTTTCCTGCAAGGACCATCACTGTGAGATACAGAATACTTCTGTCTGCTTGCCCTGACTCTTGCAGGACTTGCTCAGAATAAAGAAGACAAATAATATGATCCACAAACAAGAGGCTTTCTCAAGTAACATGCAGCGGGTTTGCTGGGTTTAGGGTGACAGCAATGTTTATGGAACTTGGTTGTTAAAATTGATTTTCTTTGTAGGAAACGAGTATCCTGCTGTGACTCCATTATTCTCAGTTCCAGCAGTTCACTAGTGTTCTTCATAAAAACCCCACAATTTATGTCAGTTCAAGACACTGTATAAGAACTTCAGGAAATGGGCTTCATCACAGAGGTTTCTCAGGGCAGGGGCCCAATGCTGACAGAGCTTCTGCTACCACACAGAGCCACTGGGATGCTTTCCAGACCAGAGGGGATACATGGGATCTGAGTCCTCTGAGGACACGAGGGCTGATACAGCCAAGGGAACTAGCTGCTTTTCCTTGCCAGCTAGGATTTTTGGATATCAGATGAATGGCTGTATGTTCTATATGCTGGATCAGCAGTCTGCATTTTTACCCTCCTGATAAGCAGTAGAGCTTCCCTGGGAAAACAGAGGAAGCCCCAAATACTGAAAATAATTGAAATACCCTTGTTCCAGTGCATTGTGATCTGTAGGTCATGCTGTGGCTGAACTATTTCCTTTCCTCCTTTCTTTGTAGCAGACATCGATGTAGGCACTTAGGTGAAACTGGGTGACCTGAAGGCCAGAGAGAACACTCTGCCTGGCTGAACAAAACCTCTGTTTCTATGTGCAAGAGAAGCACATTTAGACTCTGCCGAATGGCAGCAAACATTGCTGAATGTTCCTGTTGAGGAGAGGAAAATGTGTGCAGCAGTGTCAGTGTCAGACTCATCCTGCTTTCTTATTTCTCACTCACTTCAGATGGAGCTTTTGATTAGAGCTGTCCTCTGGTTTGCTGAGAGGCAGCTGGACTGGGACGCATAGTCCTGCCCCTGCTGAAAACCAAACTACAAATAGCATTTCTGACTCCTCTTCAGCAGCTGACAGCATGCTCAGTTGATGTGCTGCTATTGTAAGCTGAACATTAGACCTCTTTTTATAAGAAACAAGAGATTGTTTTTCAGTCCTTTTGTTGATTTGGCCACAGTGCTTATGAAATGGATGTTACAAAATAAAGGCCCTTGAAGGATATTCCCTGCTGACAGCTGTGGGAGGTGACCTATGGTGTAGGGGACAGATCACAAGGCAGAAGAATTTAGCAAGAATGATTAAACACTGGAAAAAAATAACTGTGCAAAAGACAGACATTTTTATGTTTGATGTCTTCAACTCATGATCAGAAGCTGTTTTGGAAGAGGTGCTTTATTTGGATACGTGATCAGGCTTTGCTCAAGGAGATTTAAGTGAGATCTTTTTCATGATGTGCCAGATGCAAAGCTGTATTTTTGAACTAAAACCCATAGGAAATAAAAATAACATAAACTGTGACTTACAGCAAACCCTGTGCAAACCACATGTCCTTGGAGTGCTGAGGTATAAAGTGCTATCTTTAGTTTCTTTCTAACAAACAAACAAATTTAAAAATCCATCCAATTCTGTATGATTCACTTTCTCCTGACTTCAGCCACGACACTTTAGAGTTAGCTGATTTGGGACAAGAAATCCTTCAATAAAGGAGAAAGAATTTATATATGGCCACTAAACATGGAAAAGTAAACATTTCAAGTGCCTCAGGCAGTTATGATTACACAGCTTATCTGTGCACAGCAGGTTCATGGAGCCTTGTTTCCTAAACTGAAGCAGAAACTCTTATGACTACTCCATGGTGGACCTGGAGCTCTTGGCACCTCCTGTCTGTGCCATTGAGGGCTGAGTCTGAGAGCTGAAATAACCTTCCAGTGAGGTCCCCCTGGCTGGTGTGGCTCACTTGTAGGGGAGGTCAGTGCTGCTCTCTCTGAATCTGTTCCTAGTGCCAGGGCATTGGTCATGCAATGATCTCTTCTATACTAGGGCTGTTGGAGGTCTCAGGCCTGGCATGTCCTGGGGAGCACCATGAGTGAGGCCTTGAACAGAACTGCTGTGGTCTCATGTCCTGGTGGGGGGAGTCTCTCAGAGTGGATTTGTGTGGGGTAATGTGGCAATGGATTTACCCTATGTAGGATGGAAGAAGTCCTGTCAGAGATGGACTGGTGAAGGAAAAGAATGTTGTAGAAACAGAAGGTTTTAATGTTGTTTAAACAGATCTTAAAATGGCTTTTCTGTATTTTTGCAAAGTCACTGCTTCTCCTTCCTGACACCCCCTGTAAGGAACCCTTATGCAGGAATGTCATGGGAAGATATCCTGAGGTCTTCTCAATGGCCTTTGTTAACCCCTTTCTATTGGCTATTAACTCTTTACCTGATTGGGTTTTTCTGTAGTACCCTGAGACTCTAACTGGTTCTTTTCTAATCCCCCTGAAAGCCATATAAGGCCCCAGCCCCACAATAAATCCCTCTTTCCTCCGTCCCTCTGCGTGGTTTGTGTGAGCTTCTTACAGGCTCATAGAGCCACAGCTAGGGGGGCAGTTGGGAGAGCGTTACACCTCCAGGGAATGGTTTAACACCCAAGACCTGAAGGTGCCCCCTCCAAATCAGCCGTGGTAGGGTGTCTTTGTTTTCTGAGGAACAAAAGAAGCAGGGCTCTAAGCAAGGGAGTGGAGCATTACTCCAGGCAGGGGGTTTGGGGTTATATGGCCGGAGAATGAACACTCTCTGCTGAATATCCTCCAGCCCCGCTGGAGGAGCTGCCGATGCGTCATCAGAGCAGGTATGACTTTCACAGCATGACACACTGCAAAATGCCATCAGATGAAGTCACAAACAA